TGCCTAGATTGGTAAACTGTCTGTTATTTTAAAACTTAAAAATGGACTTGGATTGGACTGCTTTGCAAGCATTTGTTTGTTGCTCTAGAGAGCAATTGCAGGTTCAAACGAACGAGATGATGATGACATGCCTTCGTCGCCCTTGAAATCACCTCAGCAGCAGGAGCAGCATCATCGCAGTGTTGATCATTCTTTGCTGATCTCATCTTCCATAACTGCTCGATCTCCGAAAATTTTTGTTCCCAAGGGGAAACCGCGCCGACCGTCAAATCCATTCAAAAACAAGCCCGCAGATGCACTTGCTGATGGAGCCAGCATGTTGGACAAGTAGCGAAAGACAAGCTGTTCGCTTTTATCCGACTTCTTTCCAGTATCTCATGCCTTATAGGTTCCACTCTTTATTGCGTTTAATTAATTGTAATTATTCGTTGTGAAAGATACCCTCATTATGTGATGCGATGTTATATCATTCCGCCGTCGCGCATGCCCTGTGTGTTGTAGACCGATCGTAATAGTCTTGCGTGTTAGTGACCATTCGAAGTTTTTAATTGCTCGATGTGCCTCTATCCACAGCTCTGTTTTTTTTATCCTTGTCGGTGGTGCTAAAGCTTCACTCAGTTTTTTTTCCTGTTTTATGAATATATCGTCATGCTCTTACTGGTCAGCTGCGATTATTTGATAATATGCGTTGGAATCGTCCCCTTCCCTCCCTGTCGAGTCATTTTGCGCATCAATTCGTCCAAAAAACTGCAGTATTTGTACGCCGATACTGCAAGATGTGCAAAGAAACTCTGACCAAATCGTTTATTACGATTCATAAAAGTTTTGAATATAATTCATAAATTTGGAGTATTTCGTTATCATCCAGGGGAAAAACCAACGCTTGAGAGAGGGGGAAAGGGGGTGGATGTGTGAGTTTTCTTCTTGTCGAAGTCGATCATTTGTGGGAATGTGGTCTGTGTATATTGTGTATATTGTATATTATCATTCGTTCATCCATGTAAAATACATTATTTTGCAAAAAAAGAGCTACTTAGGCATGACCACTGCTTCGAATATAAATCCTTAAAATACGGAACTAGGGTTGGGGGTGAACCTGCGTTGGTTCTTTGCGGGGGAAAGTTGATCTCTTAACACAGCTGGATTTTTACAGTTTTTTTTTCTAAAACCCGACAGTAAACGAAATCAGAAAACCCGCTGTTCTACAATTTACGGGTGAAGCAAAAAAAAAAAACAGCTAGGTTATTTCTATTCGAGCACGCACTTTCGTTCCGTGGAAACGAGCTTCTCGTGCCATGTACGTTTCCATTTGCGCAAACTGTGTACACAACAAGTTACACGGAAAAAACTGCTTCCGCGAAATACTTACATGTCGATACTAGTGCGTTGTCAGGATAAACAACAGTTCTATTCTGATTTTGGGTGTTATTCGAGATTCGGAGAAGACGATCCCGGAGTGATGCTTGCTGGGGTTCTTTTGGTTAAAAAAGACAAGGTTTTCTTTGCTTCTTCAGCTTCTTCCAACGTTCCTGGTCGCTGCGATGGTTTGATTTTGTCTGTCGATGGCGCATTCGTCAGCTTCTTTTGTACCTTTAATACGATACTCCACAGTGAGTGCCAAAAATATGCGGGCAGAACTGATGATGTGACAGGAGGGTGGGAATAAATTGGGGTGTATTCCAGAAAGGCATATGGATTGACTCGAAGTGCTGCTGATTATATTTTTCGTGTTGTGCAACAGTTGTACAAAACGCATATTGCTCTGGGGTTGTTTGCGTGTGTGTCCGATGCATCTTTTCCGCAACTTTCAACTTGAGAACCACAAAAGCTAGGGAGCTGGGAATTTTGGGGG